TGCTGCACCTGTGTGGCCCTCTGACCAGCACGGAAGCAGGCACGTGTCTCAGCCCTACACTCCCAGGGCGGACGTGGAAGATGCGGAGGGCAGGGACAGGACCATGAATAATTGAGGGGGCTTACCCACTCCAGTTTTCTCCTTTGCCTCCCTGAGGCAAAAAGTACCCCCCTCCCCCCCAGTTCACCCTCAACCCCTCTTCCAAGGTAAGGCACTTGGGGTGGCCCTGTCCCCTACATGGAGCTTCTGGGCACCGCCCTGGGTGGGACATTATAGGAGAAGTGGACAGCCCGGGTGGTCTTAGGCCCCACACTTTGTACAGACTGAGGCCAGTTGATCTGCTCTGTTTTATACTAGTGACATTAAAGATTATTTTTGGATACACCTGTGAGTTCTGTCTGGCATGATCTGGCTAGCTAGGGTAGAGAAGGGCAACAGAAGAGGTGGGCACCAGGCCTTGGTGGATGTGTCAGATGGATAGTGGCATGTGTACTGGTCAGCCGGGATGTTTCTGAGGGCAGGGGTGGTCTTGTTCTCTGAGAGTCTTCAGTGCCCAGCATGGAGCCTGGCCCATAGAGGGTACCCAAGAATTAATTGCTTGTTAATGAATGAACAAGGGATGTCATCCAGGTGAAATTTCCTGATAGGGCCTAAAGCTGTGGAGATAACACTCATAGGGCCTGGGCACTGCAGATGCGTCAGACAGCATCCTTAGCCTCTGCAAGCCCTGGGCTGACTGGTGCAATAATCAGTCCTGACAAACACATGTATGCCTCCATTGCCATCACCAAGTCACATAATGGCTCCATTACCTCCCACACGTCCCTGTGCCCGCCACGGACAACCCCTCTCCCAACCCTGGATCTGCTTTCTGTCCTTATAGTTGCACCCGCTACAGAAAGCCTTTACGGAATTCTAACGCTCAGCCCTCTGAGTCTGGCTTCTCTCTCATCTAAAGTGATCTTTCTAAAATATAAATCCGCCTGCTCCCCTGTGACCTCCTCTTATGCCCAGATAGACACCGAAGGGCCTGGCCTCTGCTCACTGCCCATGGCAGTCTATGTTTTTATCTCCTTTGTCTAATTGAAGAGTTTTAGTAGTTTTAGCTCTTACATGATGGGGGAGCTTTGTAATAAATGTATCAGGTTGGTGACGCCGAAACCTGCTGCTCAGTCTTCGGATCACAAAGATATTGACCCTCTCTCTAGACATGTGAACCTCAACTAGGCATTATTTTGGCCAAGAAATGGAACCTAAATCTAATCCCCTGTATCCAACTACTAGTTATTGGAAATGCAGGGAACAGTGGAACATGTGAAATGACACATGAGGACACATTACCAAATCCAGACTGGGAAACTACAGAACAGACAACCCAGTTTCTTCTTCAACAACAAAAAATTTACAAGAAATGAAAAGATGGGGATTCTCTAGGTTTCAAGAAATTTAGACATATATCAACCAAATATAATGTGTTGACCTTATTTGATTCAAATCCAAACTAGCTAACTAAAAAACATTTATGAGCAATTGGGGGAAATTTGAACTCTGATGAGATATTTGGTGATATTAAGGAATTATGATTTACTTTTCAATGTGTGATAATAGTATTGTGATTATGGTTTTTTTTAAAGTCTTTAAAAGATTCATTCTGAAATATGTATTAGTGAAATGATGTCTCAGCTTTGTTTTTAAAATAATCTAGAGGTTGGGGGAGAGGGCGTGGGTATAGTCATGGCCATGAATTGATATTGGTTGAAGCTGGGTAATGGGTACATGAGGATCTGTAATTTTGTGTAAACTGGAAAATTCTGTAATAATTTTTTTTAATGGAGATTCCCCAGATCTTTGAGATTGATTGGGCATGAGGTGGTAGAATCCTGTTTTGTAGGTGGGGAAACTGACGGCCCAGTGAGGAGACCTGTCTCACATCCCAGTTAGTGGGAGAGCCAGGATTTCAACTCAGGTCTGAGTACCAGGTGTGGGCTATTCTGCTGTCCCTGCCTGGCTGACTTCCAGGTGGAATTCCTAAGTGGCCTGTAGAGGAGTCCTCCCTTGGAGAGCCTCTCCCTTCTCTGCAGCCCTGGTCTCTGGCTGGGGGTTGTCCTGAGGTGACCTTGAGAAGGACTAGCCACCACAGCCAGCCCTTGGGCCAGGCTTGGCAGCCCCAACAGCCACTCGTGATGGAGCCTTGGCTAATCTCAGCCTGGGAGCCAAGCCTGTTAGAGGTGGGCAGAGAGGCCTCATCTACCCTCCAGCCTGCAACCGGCTAGGGATTCACCCTGAGAACTTGCTGCAACCCAGCTGTGAGAGGGGTGCAGATTTTGTTTCTTTTTAGCAAGATGAGGCGGCAGGGACCAGTGCAACCTGTTGCCTGCCACCTGCCACGATTCCCAGTACCATCTTTATCACTGGTTACTCCTCGAGCCTGAGCTGGCTGGTGCTGGCTCTGCGGCCAGCCATGGATGCCCAAGGCCAATTCCGAGGTATAGGTGCTATGGGTCCAGGCTAGGGTAAGAGTGAAGGGGTCAGAATGAATCACCTCTTAAGGTGCACAAAAAACAGGACCTTGGGCAGGGGACAGAGCCTTTCTATGTCAATCAGCTAATGTGAGTATGTGAGATAGAGATTATTCTCACTTTGCAAATGGGAAGCTGAGACTAAAGGAGACTGACCCACCTGAAGTCATAGATGGTTAGGGACAGAGGTCAGACTCAGCCCATCTTGCAGGTGGTGGAATGTAGCCTTTCCCTGGCCTGTCCTTTGTTCTCTGCTCCCTCCCTTCTCAGTACTGGCCACTATGAGGGACCTGGGCTGCTGGGGAACCTTAGAGGTAGCAACTGACTTGGCCCTGAGCTAGGTACTGGAAATTGTCGGCTGGACATCCTTGGTGAATGGCTGAGATCTCTGGCTTCTTGGAGAAGAGGCAGCAGCTCAGAGTGTAGGGGACAAGTGCCCTTCACAGCCAGCTCACAGAGGGACCTTGGATAAGATTCCCCAGCTCTGAGGATGTGGGGAGGTTGCTGCTCTCTTGCCAAGGAGGCTGCAGCATGACTTGCCAAGTCCAGACAACAGAGGGGACTGCCAAAGATAGCGGAAGTGCTGGATCGTGGAGGCTTGTGGTTAAGAGGAAATCTGGGCTAGTGGGAGGAAGGCAGGGACCTTGTGGTACCCTAGATACTGCCTTTTCAATATTAAGTTATTGGGTTTGATTATAAAAATTATATTTGTTTATTAAAGAACATTTCAGAAATCAGAAAAAGACTTTGGAAAAGAAAAGGAAATTCCCCATAATCTTTCCTTGCTGAGGAAGACCCAGGCCTTGAGAGAGGGTGATGCAGGGCTCACACCCAGGGCCCTGGCCCTAAATGGCCTTCAGCACATGTAGACCCCAGCTCCTGGGGCTAGTATGGCTGGTGTGAGCCTCATGACATTGTACATATTCGTCTTTGGCAGCACCGTGGGCCTGTAGAAGTGTATGGCCAGTGTTGGCCTCCCTCCCTACTCAAGTGTAGAAGGCAGGGTGTACTGGTGCCAACTTTCGGGACTAAGAATGGTTTGGTTTCATTCTAGGGGAGCCCACCTCCCCTAGGATGCCCTGAGTAAAGCATCCAGATAGATAAAGCTCTGGCCGGATGCTCCCCCTGCTCCCCAGACATCCTGTCCAATAAAATCTATGCATCTCCAAGTTCACTAGTGAAGGACCTCCTGGTGCAGGCCTAAGGGTTCAACATCAGGTCAGTGACCTGCCTGCCTCCTGTCTCCTGCCTCCTGCTCCAATGCCAGGCACCCTGAGGGAGGAGGGAGGAGGAAAAGGAGACGAGAGACCAACGCCACTTGGAAGGATCCTTTCTTCTGAACTGTCTACATAAGCAGTTTTTTAACAGCTTCCTGGAGTCCAAAGGTTCCAGCAGGAGTTGGGGGGCAGGTTGGGGTGGGATTGGGGGGAGCTCTGCCTTTACATCTAGGAGTTTGGTTTCATGGCATACCTGAAAAAAAAAAAAAAAGGCTTCCTACTATTTAGCCAATGATCTGGTCCAGCAGACAGAAAAGCGGGTGCAGAAGTCAGGGTGTGTTCTAGCTTGCACAGTTGTGGTCTGTGGCAATCTGCTTTCCTGTCCTGTGCTGATGGCAGAACCTCAGCTTTGGGGCTTGGGAGTGAGGTGTGCAGTGGCCTTTTAGGACAGAGGACTCTGAGCTTCCATCTGGGGTTGGGGAGTTGGGAGGAGGGGAAAGAGGGAATTCAAAATTAGAGGAGTTGGATGTTGCAGACTGGAGTCTAAAGCCACAGGGGAGTGAGTGATTCTAGGGGCTGAAGCTGCTCCCCAGGGGTCCCTCATGTTCTCCATACAGGAAGGCGTGTTGGGAAGGAGAGGTACTATCCAGGCTGAGAAGGTTGTGGCTACTAGGCCCTAATGTGGCTTGACAGTCAATCTCATGTGCTTTAAACTGATGATCTCCAGCATCCCCTTGCAGGGCTGCATTTGCCCCAAGGAAGGGGCAGGTTTTTCTTTGTTGGGCACTGGGGGGCTGTTTGGCTGGAGCTGCATTTTCATGGTAAACAGTGTTTTTTACTATGATTGGGTTTATCTTGGGGTGGTTTTAGGGAGACTAAGAGAGATTGGGAGGCCAATGCTACTCCTTTAGGGCTGCTAGGTGGATTCCTCTAGGGTGTCCATAATGGAGCTGGGCCCTGCGACCTTGGAGTTCTAAGAGAAGCTGTACACAAGGTCGGAATGG